CACCCCCTCCTTCCCTGTCTTGGTGTGGAGCTTCCTGGGTGGACTCCCTGGCAGTTAGGGGTGGGTCGTGCCGTGTATCTTGGCCTGTGGACCTGTGGGTGTGATCTGTGGGGCTCCCATACTTCCATTTCTCATGACCAGAATTGTACAGAGATGACTGGACATTTACTTGGGATAGCACCTCTCAGATTTTACCACACGAGGACTCCTCCTGGGATACGAAAAGCAGGTGATTAATCTGGCACTCCAAAGCAGCTCACCTTAAGTGATGCTTCTTTGACACCTCACGTTTTATCTTAGATCTTGGAGATTATCTGTTGGTACTTCATAATGTAGACATATTTGCTCTAATATAAAAATAATAATTCCCTCCAAAAAAATCTTTGGGTAAAATCAGTTGAGCAGGGAGATAGACTCCAGGTTCTGTGGCTACCTATAGCTTCTCCCTAGGAATTTGTAGGTTCTGGTTTAAGAAGTGAGGACTTGTGCAGGTACAGACTTTTAAAGTATTTCCACAAGCGTGTGGTTCTATGGCTTCATAAGTAAGTTCCTTTTTGCTTTCTCTTTCAAACTGACATTTTTGTTCTTAACAATGTTGGAGACTTTTTAACAGTTGTTTGCATCCATATAACAAAGGCATAACAGGTGAACATTGTATTTATGACCTTAGTTTCAGTGCCGTGACCCATTCCCTGCACACGTTGCCACTGATTTTCAAAAGATCAGCATGTAGGTTGTGACATTTCAGGAGCTGAAGAACCTGCTTCAGCCCTTGCTTTTTCCAGAAACTTGTCCACAGTCACATTTCAGTTATGGTCACATTAACTGGAATCTAATTCTCTGAGCATTTCTCCATTACACCAGACCTATACATATTCACATTTTGATTAATGTTTAGGATGAGAGGCTTGTTAAATGATGCTATAAATATTTTTGAGAAGCACTCTATGAGAAGGCTGAGGGGAGGTGTATGTAGAAAGTATGGCCAGGATTTTCTTGTAAATTTCTTTTTTTTTGCACTGGAGTCTCACTCCATCGCCGAGGCTGGAGTGCAGTGGCACACTCACAGCCACCCCAGCGTCGACCTGCTGGGCTCCAGCAATCCCTCTGCCTCAGCCTTCCAAGTAGCTGGAACTATAGGCATGCACTACCACGCCCGGCTAATTTTCTATTTATTATAGAGATGAGGTCTCGCCAAGTTGCCCGGGCTGGTCTCGAACCCATGGGGTCAGGCAATCCATTCACCTCAGCCTCCCAAAGTGCTGGGATTATAGGCTGAACCCCCGAGCCTGGCTGGATTTTCTTGTAAATTTCAAGATTTGGGAATTGGCGCTTCAGGTCCCTGGAAGAAGGAGGAGCCACCTGCTCCCGTCTACTCTCTCTTTTTGGGTTTCTTTAGAGGTTTGGCTTTGTGCCTTGGAGAGATCTGTTCTGAAACTTGGCTAGCCACCTCCCTTGGCATGGCAAAGAGTGTGTGAGGCCAGAGGATATGCTCACTCAGAACCTCTGTCCAACACACCCCTCTTCTTAACCAGGTCTCAGACCCCTGGAATTCTCTTCCCAAACATCCTGGGCCCCGATTCCAGGGCCCATGCTGGACCTTCTGGGTTTATCCCTATGGAGTCCACTGCCAGTGTGCCACATGTGGAGGAGGATGGACGAGGACAGGTAGACTGGGATATCTACCTGCGTGAAAGCCCAGGGCCCCTCTCAATGTGGAACAGAGCTGGGAGAAGGCTGGAGAAAGAGGCTTGGAGGTTCACATAGCGAGATACAGCATGAACCACATGGTGGGATTGCTCCTTGCAAGTCCCAGTGTGGGGACAGTGTAGCCTGTGTTTGACCAGACACTGAGTGCCAGGTAATAGGTACCAGGAGGAACTTCCTCCAGCTCTGTGCCCCTCTGGTGCCACTGTCCCCAGAAGTAGACTTGCAGGGCATTCTGACATTGTCTGGGACGCATCTGCTGCGAGCCACTTTGCCTGGGCCTGCCTTCTATCGTGGAAGGCAGGATTCAGAATGTGGGGGAATTCCTCAGGTATAAGAATGAGATTCCTCAGCTGTGGGAAATTTCTCAAGGATAAGAAGGTGTTTAATAAATGAGACGTGGCTACCAAGCAGGAAAAATGTCCCTTCCCCCTGGGCTGGGGCCCTAGGCTTTAAGGAAGGCAACTGGGTTCTTGCGACAGCCCCTCTGTCCCAAGCTGTCACTCTTCCTGTGCCCGCATGGGACATGGAATTTCTTGCAGAGGGACAGGAAGGCGCTGTTGCATGAAGTCAGTCCTTCCTGAAAAAGGCGGGGGCATGGGGGGTGGTTTTTGTTGAGGACCAAGGTGTTCATTGTCAATTCTTGTGCTTAATTTCTACTTTTGTAATTTAGTACATATTGAAGTTTCTCATTCTGGGTCTAATAGGACATTGCTTTATGCCTCATTTATGCATTTGCATTTTATGTTTAATAAGCAAGCAGCTTTGTACATGTGTTCCGAGTGCTGATGAAATCATGTTGTGATATGCCGACGTTTCCAAACATGTCAACATTACCAAACAACAGTGGGGGCTTTACTTAGGAAGATCTTCACAATTGCCAGCTTTCTCGTGTGATTGTCATGTAAACCCGTGAAAGGACAAGGCCACTGGGAGTGGGATGACCAGCCAAGGCTTCTGGTCACCCCCAACTCCAGCTATCACCTGGGTCTGGACGTGAGCATTTTGGTGCACTGCCATGCCTTGGTTGGAAGCTGCAATGGAGAGGACATGACCAGTCCAGGAATCACACATAATATTGGCATCGTTGCACCAAAGGGAGAATGGGGAACAGGATGTTACAGCTTATTAGTTTATTGGGTGAGTTAATCCTTTTCCTTTTCTTCATGGTTTTATTTTATGTGGAAATTCAATCCGAAAAATAATCCAGTGGAATAAATCTGTGACTCCTTATTGTGGTGACTGTTTTCTAAGGGTGTGTTTTGAATTTTGCTGTAAGTCACTTTAAGAAGTCACAATGGACGTTGATAAGTTGGTTCTGAGTAAGGGTGTTTTATTTACCCAGAGTTCTCAATCTAGTCCTGTTCCTCTGGCTCTACCTCCTCAGGCTCACACCCACCCCAACTCTTGACTCCTTAAGTAGTTTTCTACTTCAGTGAGATACCCAGTCAATCTCGAGACGCCACTGACAGTTCTCTTTGGAATCCTAGTCTCTGACCTCTCTGACCCGCACTCAGGACCTATATCCCTTCCATCCTTTCTCCTACTTGATTTTAGACTGGGTTTTCATCACCATGTGACTAATACAAAGATGGCAGGTAAGTAGTGGGTGGATTTCTTCCCTGTCTCTCAGTTTTTCCTTTCTTCCACAAGTATTTATTGAGCTCTTACCATATGCAAGATGTGTAGGATGGGGCTCTTCTCATAAGAGTCTGGGACAGGGGAGGGTCTACTCTGTTCTCTTTCTTCCCTGGCCCGGGAAGGGAGGGCCATCAGCCAGGGGAGCCACCCAACAGAGAGCTGTCAGAGCCTGGGGACCACAGCTGGCAGCCTGAGGCACCCTAGTGCATTGCCCCAGGGAGAACCTATGTGCCTCATAACACCCTGGCTTTGGAGGCGTGGGTATCTGCAAGGGCCCTGAGAGAAGCTTCTGTTCAGAATCTGCTTTGAGCTGGTCTGAATTCCAGAAGCTGCCAGGATGGAATGGGGATAATCGAATTACAGATCTGGAAAGTGCCTAAGAGGCACCTGGAGGCAGAATGGCTCAGTGCTTCAAGAGGGCGCGGAGAGGGGTCTGCGAAGGACCCAGAACAAGCTGGACGGTGAAGGCGGGAGGGCGAAAGAGGACTGACCCTTATCCAGGGGTCAGGCAGGAGGAGGCAGCTCAGGTGCTGCAGAGATACCCAGTGGGCTGGAGACTGAGAGTCCTGGGGGATGGCCTGGGCATGCATCTTGTAGGAGCAGTGAGCACAGAAGCAGATTGTAGTGGCTGAGAAGTGGAGACAGTATGAAAAATCTTTAAGGAGTTTCTGGAGCAAAAAGGAAGAGGGAAAGTAAAGCAGTTGGAGGGCTGTGGGAAATGACCACTGCAAGAGGTTTCCTGGGCCTTCCAAACCAACCTGCCTGTCTTGCCTATCCATTTCCTCCACCCCCAAGTCCATTGATTTCTTTGCACCATTCTCTGTATAAATCACGTGAGCTGTCACTTCTTGGGCACACTCATAGGGGTCGGAAGGATGTGGAGGTCTTTCCTTTGATTTTATGCTGTAATACACTTCACACTGAATGAGCCACTGTGCCTCTGATACCTTATATTATGCTAATAATAGGTGGGATTTAGTACGGAGAGTCTAAGCAAAATGCTTTGTGTTGAATTAGTCAGGCTGTTTTGTCGATGTGTATTAAAAAACCTCATGCTTTGGCTTTGCAAGATTTTTAGAGGCCCAAGGAAATGATTCAGACATGAAAAAAAATTCGATTCCAAAATATGAAAAAAGAACTGCAAAATCAGGTGAATGAGTGGTGAAATAGCTTCAGGTCATAACAAGAGCACCGTGACAACTCAGCTTTTTTGAAGTTATTTGAAATTGCGTGGTATGGGATAGAGGTATATTAATATGCTTGGTAAAGGAGGCGTGACGATGCCTGTTCTTAGAAGAGACCTGCTTATTTCCCCTGGCATCTGGTGCATTTCTCTCTGGCAAGGCCCAAGCTCTGTTTTCACGTATCCTCTGAGATGGTTTGATTCATTTTTGCATCTCTGTGTCTAGCAAAGCGCCTGGTACGCGTGCTTAATAGAGCTTGTGGTTGTACAAAGCTCTTTGTATTCTTCACCGCTGAGACTTGATTTCCTGAAAATGTTCTTGATTTCCTGAAAATGTTTGAAAAGTTGGACTTAAACATTGGGCTCATTTTCATGAGCATTTAATACTTTTCTGGCATTTCTTGAGATCGTCGTGGAGGCCGGTGACTTCAGGCCTCTTCACTCAAGCGTCAATGGTGTGTTCTTCCTTCTCTAGGTAGACTCGTCCCCTGAAAGATGGTGACCCTCTCCTGAGAAGCAGGACCTCTAGGGACGAGACCAGGCCTTCTCTGAGGTAACTGGGCTGGGTTACCCCAGGGTCCTGCAGGCCTTTTCTCATAAACAGCTGAACTCCTCCACCCTCAGCTCCAGGTGGCACTGGGATATCTCCCATTGTGTGCAAAAATATTTTGTGTCTTGGGGGCAGCTCTGTAGTTTTATTAGATTTTTGATGGATGCTGGGATTCCAGTAGGAGCCACTGCCCACCGGCATTCCCAGATCACCTTGGCTGTGCTACAGCTGCAGCCCGTGTGATGCTGGCTTCCGGTGCAGTGTCTAGGGTCTCCCCAGTTCCAGAACATTCCAGGCCTTGATGGCCCTTTTCACTGCACTGGTCACGCCATGCTTAAATTCGTGATTTCTGCTGGAGACAGCACTGCGCACCTCTCTTAGGAAACCTGGGCCTGTGGTGCTGTGGTGACACCCTCCGAATGTTCCTTCTGAGCTGACTGTGGGTGCCCTCACCTCCCTCCTTGTCTGGGCCTACCTTCATTGGCCTCCAATGCAGTGAGTCTGCCCAGGCAATCCTTCTTCTCCCCTCTCCCCTGAGTATTTTCAAATACTCCCTCACCTGCCTGTCACTGCTGGCTGGTCCACCCCTCACCGGCCCTCTCGTGGACCTCCATGGCGGTCTGCTCTCCCTGCCTCCCCTCTGTTTCCAGTTTATACTCTGCACTGGTGCCAAAATGTCTCCAGAAAATGAAAATCTAGCCGTATTCCATCCCATGACTCAATCAAGTGATTCTCTGCTACCTGCAGATGATAATCCTTGCTCCCCAGCAAACCTCTCAGCCTCACCTCTCAGAATCCACCTTTGGTTGATGCTCCAAAACTTGATGCTGCTGGATCATCTCCTCGGGCTGTCTTCCCTCCTGCCCTGGGCATAGCTCTTCCTGTGGGCATTCCCACATCACAGTCTAGCTCTGAGGACATGCCCACCTTCCCTTGCAGCTCCTGGAGCCAGGCCCTGGGCGCTCATTCCTGTTTTTGTTCCCAGGGCCAAATGTGGATGCAGACTTGATGTAGATACTCAATATACAACTGTTGAATGCAGCAGTGAGTAAAGAAAGAAATGAACAGATAACTGAAAACATCCAACCAGAACTTGTATCTGTCACCAGAGCATGGAGTGGTGTATAATAGCTACCGCTTGAGAGTGACCCTCTGCCAGACGCTGCTCTCAGATCTTTTCGCATGGCCCACTCATTTCACCCTCGTAGCACCGTCAGTGATAAATGCTGTTATCCTCACCCCCATTGTGTCGAAAGGGGACATTGGGGCATGGAGGCTGACCTTTTATCCAGTGTGCCACCTATGTGGAGGGACTTTCTCACTCAGACAGCCTTTAACTACTGATACAGTAAAGACCAGTCAGGGCTGGCTCTACCTTGGGATTCCTGTTATTTGAGGTCACGTTGGGGTTTGTTGTTGATTTTTGTTGGAAGAGTGTGTGGATTAGTCTTGGGCGTATCCTTTCCTCCTCCTCTTCCGGTGTCATCACTCCCTTTGGTCATGTGACCATGAACACCCACCCTACGACTCAGGGCTGATCCCTTGTCCCAGGGTCCTGGGGACTGATACAAATTCAGAAGGGCTACTGCTGAGGGGACAGGGGACAGTTCCATCCCCCCTCATCCCCTTTGCCCCACTTTTTTCAAGAGCAGTTTGGAGCAGAAGTCAATCTGGACCTGTAGGACTTGGCCCTCTCTTTTATAGTCTATTAGAGCAGGAAGAGGTCCAGGACCAGCTGACCTATTGCCTGTCTTGTGCTGATGAGGAAGGAGTCATGTTCAAGATCACTCTGCCCTGTAGAAAAGGCCACTGACCTTGGACCTATGATTCAACATTGTCCACAATTAATTTGGATTTCTATCTCGAGTGAGACACCCTCTATAAAATTCAGTCTGGCATCTTCTTTTTCTTCTCCCCTGCCTACAGATCAAACAAGCCAGATCTTGTGACTAAATGAACCAACAGTTGGCAGTGTCCGGTCGATTTCATCATGCCCTTATTTTGTTGTTGATCAACGAATGCGAGTAACTGATTGGCCTTCAACTGGTGATCTGGGCACATTTGGACTCCTTATTTTCTTCCTCTCTATTCTAAAGACTTAAAATACACCAGGTGCCGCCACAGAAGGAGCTCATAAATCAGGCTGCGAGGCTTCAAAGCCTTCTGTGTTATTTAATCATGTGAATGTTGAGGTGTAAATATGGTGTAAATAATACTAGTAATCTAGACTAAAGCGAAAGGCCAATTTACGCAAATAAAGAGTCAGAATTGCAAGATATTTAAGGAATGCAGTTTTACTGCTCTGAGGTAGGTTTCAAGGCTTGAACCAGGTGTAGAGGTCATTCATTCGTCCTGATGTCAATGGGTATGTCTCCCATGCTTAGAAATGGTTTTTTTTCCCCTATATTTGTTTAAAAGGCATGTTGTGACACTTTATACCTTTTAAGACACATTCCTAAATAGAATATTTTCCAGCTAATAGTCAAATGATTGCATGTCATCAGAAGTCTGAATGACTGCTGCGTTAAAATATCTTGTATTTGCATATTGATTTATAGCTACAGATTAAGGCTATAAGGCAAATTTAATCTCCTTTGAAAAATAAAAGGCAGACTGGAATTCCAAGCAGAGAATTCTAAGGTCTACTCCGGGTGTTGCCCCTAAGGTTGTGTGGCAGGAATACTGTTTCTTTTTTTCATTGTTTTCATTTGTCCCACGAGACTTTAGTAAAGGCTTCTGTGACTGAGCACAGTGCTAGATGCTGTGGGTGCAGAGATGATCCCACCTGGGTTCCTGCCTTCAGGAAGTTTCCTGGCCTGGGGAAACGGAAGTAAAATGTTCTCAGGCAGACGTGTGCGGGTCGCATGGGGGCTCAGAGCAGAAAGCCAGGCGGGGCGGGGGGGGGGGTGGGTCTGAGAGGCTCCGACTGAGACCTGATGAATGTGGGAAGCAGCCAGGTGAGGGACGGAGGGAACAGACAAGGCAAAGGCTCTGGCCAGGTGAGGCCTGAGCATGGAGTGTGCTGGGGTGGGGTTGGGGAGGTGGAAAGACAGGTCAGAGCCTCCCCACAAGGAGGTAGGTTTTGCTAGGGAGTTTGAACTATTTCTGGGTGCAGTGGGCAGCCAATGAAGGTGTTTTAGCAGGTCATTTGATGCCTGCTAGTTTGTAGGATCTCTGGATTGATGGGAAGATGTAGATCCACAGGCAGAGGGATCAATAAGGAGCCTGTAGCTGTAATGGAGCCAGGCAACAATTGGAGATAGTATGAGCTAAAGCAGCATCTACAGTGACCAGGAGTGAGCTGGGAGGGCTTGATGATCTATGGAGACAGACTGACTGGGGCTGGGGAGAGAGTGGATTTGCTAGATCTCTTGTTGGGTGGGTGCCTGGTATACTGAGAGCCGTGCTGTACCCCTCACTGTCCCAAACATGAGTTTGGTGGGGTGAGAATGAGTTTGGCTTGGGGGGTGCCTGTTGATTTTGTGATGCTGGTGGCCCTTGAGTGGATTTGTATGAAGCTTAACTAGAGATATGAGACGGAAACTTAGATAGTGTTGTGAGGTCCCCTTCAGGAACTTGACAGGGTTGTTCAGAAAAAAAAAAGTGGTTATGTGAATATTACTTAGAAAGGCAGGCATCATCAATAACTCAAAAAATAACAGATGCTGGAGAGGATGTGGCGAAAAGGGAACACTTCTACACTGTTGGTGGGGGTGCAAACTAGTTCGGCCTCTGTGGAAATCAGTGTGACGATTCCTAAAAGTTCTGAAAATCGACCTTCCATATGACCCCACAGTCCCCCTACTGGGAATATACCTTGAAGAACTCAGGTCACTCTATGAAAAAGATACCTGCACACATATGTTTATTGCAGCATTGTTCACAATAGCAAGAACATGGAACCAACTGTGCTGCCCGTCAGAAGAGGACTGGATAAAAGAATATAGCATATATACCCAATGGAATACTATGCAGCCACAAAGAAGAACAAAATCATGAACTCTGCAGCAACCTGGATGGAATTAGAGTTTATCATACTGTGTGATCTCTCACAGAAACAAAGAGCTGAGTATCACATGTTCTCACTCATAAGCAAACCTTGAACAACTACCATATTACTATAAGAAAAGAATTGAAAGTGGTGGGAAACTGTGGGGAAGGGGGAGGGGGTTGAGGAGGTGAGATTGATAGTAGTCGATATCTACCTGGGACGGGGGGATGGGCATACCTCATGGATAAGGCTACCTGCATGGTGATTATTTGTATATGTAGCCCTGAATTGTACCCCACAATTTTAAATAAAAATTAAAAGAAGGGGGGAAAAAAAGAAAGGCAGGCAAAATTGAGTAGGTTTTTTTTCCCTCTCTCATGTTCACTTGACACTATTTTGGTGACTTTGTTTTGTTGATAAAGCCATGGGCATGTTCTCCCTCTGGACTTGCTGTATCGGGCAAATGCCTAATTGGATTATATCTCCTACCATGTATGTGAACTAAGCCTTGTGTGGTTAAATTAATAAGTTATCAGGACCTCAGTTTAATATGAAGTGTGTCGCTGATCAGTATCTGTGGTAGCAGATGCTGTGTTGGTGTGGCCTTTGAAACCACTCAGGGGGGCTGTAGAGTTTTTATTTTTTTCTCTTTTTCCTTTGCGGTTGATTCAAACAGTGCTTATTGTGGACATTTTAGAAAGTATAGAAAGCCCCAGACAAGGGGAAACCCACCCAACCACAAGAACCAACCGAATTTTAATATCTTATTATAATGTCTTGAGTCTTTGTTGGTGCATTTCTATGAGGCTGTATCATATAGTGCAAACAATTTAGCATCTTGCATTACAGAATGAAGGCATGACCTTTGAGCTGACCTAGAAATATGGGCAGACTTTTGCAAGTGGGTCCTGGCAGCCGGGCGCATTCTGTGTGGGGAACACGTCTGTGCAGGCAGGAGGCAAACTGGTTTAGCGGCTAGAGAATCATCTCCTTTTGATGTAAATGAGGTTTGGGGGGAATTTAAGTGGGATGCAAGACTGGAGGTGTATATTGGCACAGGTGATGGATGTTTTTAAAATCTGACATTGCCGAGTTTGTCCCCAATTCTGTGAAAAATCTTCCCCTTGTGCCCCCATTTTCTAACCCCAAACTAAACATGATTAATGGTACAGAAAAACTAATCCCTAGTGTGACTTTGGCGTGTGTCGGGGGGGAGGTGGAATTTCATGTTTAGTTTCAGAGATGTGCTGGAATAATGCTGTTTTTGTTTTTCTTCCACTCTTCCCTTTCTCCAGGAGAATATGAAAGTGTTACTCAGACTTGTTGGTTTGATAGCTCTATTGATTTCTTCTCTAGGGGCTGGTAAGTTGAGTCTTTCTTTGTGTTCTTGTCTCCTAAGGAAATCTGTTATTTAGAATACGTGAAGTTCCTGCCATAAGAGTCATTTTTTGGTATCTGTTTCTGTTGAATCCCAGGACTCTGAACCTTCAGGTCATAGATCTACTGCAAGTTCTTCTCAGGGTCTCCACCTCTCATTCTCTCACTTACAAATTGGGAAACTGAGGTCTAGTGAGGTTAAGACCCAAACGTCATGTAGCTAGTTTCGGAACAACAGCCAAATTCTAGGTCTCCAATGTCTAGTCCAGGCATCTTCCTACGTTGTTGCTGATTAAAGAGCACGACTCAGGAAATCCTGGCCTTCACCTTGAAAAGGTGTTACACATACTCTTTGTGAACCCATAGCTGGCAACCATCAGGATACAGCTCTCCCCCCCCCATTTCTTTTCTCTTTTCCCTTCTATGTGTTCCAGATATTGGCTACTGGAGATACAGCAGGGAATAATCTAGACAGACATACATGCCTGTATGGGGTTTACATTCTTGTAGGAGAAAGGAGAGTGTATTTTTGGGAGTGAAATAGGCAGGAGGTTAAATTTTTTATAGTGTGGGCAGAAAAGCCTCACTGAGTTGCTGACTTCTGAGTTATCCTGTTGGAGGGGAGAAAGGAAGCTCTTTGAATACCAGATCGAGGGTGTAGAAATATCCTACAGACAAAGTGCTAAAGCCCTGAGGCCAAGAGTACTTGGCATACTCTAGGAGCTAAGATGCCAGTAGGGCTGGAGCATGGTGAGACATGAGGAAAGTCATCACAAGCATCCTAAAAAGCTAAGTGAAGGAAGTGTTTCAGAGATGAGAGAATGATAGCATGTGTCAAATGCAGATATGTCAAGCAAGATGGCGTCTGAGAGCTGTTCATTTGATTCAGCAATGTAAACGTCATGAGCTACCTTGATGGGAATCATTTTGGTGGAGTGTGGGGACAAACCTCCGATAAACAGAAGAGTATGTCTAGCTGAAAACTTCCATGTGGTTTACTCACTTTCTCGCTACTGTTGTTGCTACTGCTACTCCTAGTAGCTAAATATTTAGTCGCTCTCATTTTATGCGAGTCTCATTCCAATTTCCTAGTTACTTTCAATATTTTTAACAGCTCTACTGAGATATAATCGATGTACAGTAAACCATGGATATTTAAAGGGTACAGTGTGGATTGTTGACATACATATACACTCCTGAAACCATAGCCACAATCTTGATAATAAATATATCCGTCACTCTCTAAAATTTCCTTTTGATCCTTAGTAATCCATCCTTCCTCACTCCCTCATCCTCAGTCAATCACAGATCTGCTTTCTGTCACTATGGATTGGATGGTGTTCTCTGGAATTTTAAGTAAATAGGATTATGTAGTAACGTACTCTTTTTTGGAGAGGAGAAAGAACTGTCTTCTTTCACTCAGAATAATTATTTTGAGATTTATGTACGTGGAATTATTTCATGTATAGTTAATTAAGTTAATTAATTTATTTTTGCATTGGGGTCTCACTCTGTTGCCTAGACTGGAGTGCAGTGACACAATCACAGCTCTTACCACAGCCTCGACCTCCTGGGCTCAGGTCATCCTTCCGCTGCAGCCTCCCAAATAGCTGGGACTACAGGTGTGTGTCATCACACTTGGCTAATTTTTTAATATTTTTGTAGAGATGAAATCTCGCTGTGTTGTCTAGGCTGGTCTGGAACTCCTAGGCTCGAGCAGTCCTTCTGCCTTGATTTCTCAAAGTGCTGGGATTACAAGTGTGAGCCATCATATCTTGCCATGTATCTTTTATTTTTCTTATTTTAATGCTTAGCCATACTCTGTTGTGTGAATATATCATAGTTTGTTTATACATTGGCATGTTAATGGACATTTGTACTATTTCCAGTTTTTGACTTTTAAACAATGAAAGTGCTGTGAATACTGGTGTAGAAGTCTTTGAATAAACAGAAGTCCAATGTCTAGGTCATGTGGGAGTTGTATGTTTAACTTTTTAAGAAGTGTCAAAGAGTCTTTCAAAGTTTTATCATTTTGTATTCTCACCAAAAATGTCTGAGAATTCCAGTTTCTCCACATTCTCATCAATACTTGCTATTGCCAATCTTTCCAATCTTTATCCTTTTAATAGGTATGTAGTAGTATCTGATTGTAATTTTAATTTTAATTTTCCTAATGATTTTGAACTTTTTCTTGTGCTTATTTGTCAACCATATATCTTCTCTGATGAAATTTCAAAACCTTTTGCCTATTTTTGGTTGACTTGTTTTTATATTGTTGAGTTTTGAGAGCTCTTTATATATTCTGAATACATGACCTTTATCATATATGCGATTTGTAAATATTTTCTCTCAGAAGGTGATTTGTAAATATTTTCTCTCAGAATGTGGTTTTCATTTGCTTATGGTATCCTTCAAAAACCACAGTTATTAGTTGTAATAAAGTCTTATGTATTGTTTTTATTTTTATTTTTGTATGGATTGTGCTTTTGATAGTGTATCTAAAAAAATCATTGCCTGATCCTAGGCCAAAACATTTTCTGCTATGTTTCCTTCTGAAGATTTTATACTTTCAGGTTTTATATTTAGATCTACAGTCCCTTTTGATTATTTTATAGTCATTATTTTAGCTTACTTTTAAAAATCACCAAGAGAAAGAGGGACGTTATAAGGCAAAAATATCAATTTTTAAATATTAAATTTTATATTTGCCTATGGAACTTCCTTTACGAATGTTCCTTATTTATGTATGTGGATTCATGTTACGGTCTAGTTTTTGTCCTTTTTTTTTTTTTGTCCTGGTAGACTCCCATTAGCATTTTTTTGTAGGGCAGACCTGTTCATAAATCGATGATCTAAGTTTATGTTTATCCATGAATGTCATCATCTCTCCTTCATCTTTGAAGGAGGAGAGTTTTGCCAGGTACAGAATTCTTGAGTGACGGTCTTTTTCTTTCAGCACTTTAAATACATTATCCCACTGCCTTTTGGCCTCTGTTAGTTCAGAGAGCCAGCTGCCAATCTTATTGAAGATTCCTTGTGTAATGAGGCACTTATCTCTTGCTGCTTTCAATACTCTTTGTTTTTCTACTGCTTGACTTTCATGTATCCGGTTTACCCTACTTGTAATTCTTTGAGCTTCTTGGGAGTTGGTTTAGTTTGAATATGCTTTGTCTCCACCAAAACTCATACTGAGGCTTGGTCTCCAATGTAGTAGTATTGGGAGAAGGTTTCTTTAAGAAGTAATTAGTTGTTAGGAAGGATTTAGTGTCTTTTCCCCTCAGGTTGGGTTAGTTCTCACGTGAATGAATTACTTCCCAAGAGAGTGGGTTTTTAAAAAGCGTGTCTGCCTTTCCTGTTTTGTGCTTTTTTTGCATGTGTCAGAATCCTCTTCCATTTATCTGCCATTTTTGATGCAGCATGAGGCCCTCACCAGAAGCTGCCAGATGTGGCTGTCCAGTCTTGAACTTCCAAGACTGTGGAACCTCTGAGATGAGATAAATACGTTCCTTTTCTTTATAAATTGCCAAGTCTTGGGTATTCTCTTATTGGAATGCAAAACAGACTAAAACAGATGTGTAAATTATTGATTTTCGGCAAATTTGGGAAATATTTTGCCATTATTTCTTCAAAGATTTTTCTGTCATCTCTTTTTCCTCTCCTTTCGAGACTTCCATTATGTGTATGTAAGTGTGCTAATGAAGCCCCACAGGTATTTGAGGCTCTGTGTAGTTTTTTTTTTTTTTAAGATTGGATGCTCTTCCAACAATCAGTTGACATATTTTCAAGTTTACCAATTCTTTCTTATGTCAATTCAAATTTTTGGTTGAACCTCTTTAATAAATTTTTCCTTTTAGTTATTGGATTTGTCTACTTCAGAATTTCTACTTGGTTCTCTTTGGTGATTTTTGTCTTTTTATGGATATTCTCCACTTGGTGAAACATTGTTGTCATACTTTCCTTTAGTTCTTTCAACATAATTTTCTTTAGTTCTTTGAATATATTCTTAATGGCTGGCTTAAAGTCTTTATCTAGTAAGTCTAACATCTGGAGCACTCTTGGACAGTATCTATTGGCAGCATTTTGTTCCTGTGTATGGATCATACCTTCCTATTTCTTTGCATCTTTTGTAATATTTTATTGAAATTTTGACATTTTAGGTGGTATAATATTGCAACACTAGAAATCAGATATACCCTCCACACACACACAAGATTTGTTATTAGCGATTTTGATTTTTGTTGTTGTTGCCGTTGCTGCTTCTTTTCATTTGTTTAATGACTTTCCTGGAATAATCCTTCAAAATCTGTATTTCCTATATTGTGTGGCCACTGAAGTCACTGTTTGGTTAATATAGTGAACAGCTGATGATTGGTCAGATACTTTCTTAAATTCTTTGACCCAATGAGTTTTCCACCCTTTGCTATGGGGCTCTATTTGGGTTGGGGCATATCTACTTTAAATACTTAGGCTGCTTACAACTCTGCCTTGCCTTTACTTCCTGTTGTGTGTGACCTCAGAGTCATCCAGAATTGAGAGACTGTGACTTTCCTGCTTTTTTATGGGCATGTCCATAGCCCTGCATATGTGGACTCTTCTAGATTTCCTGGAATGTGTTAGAACTTTTAAAAATCCCCTTAAGGGTTATCATTCTTGTTTGCTTTAACTGGTATTGCAACTCAGGCAGCTGTAATGTTAAACAAATGACACTGAGTTTTTTCAACAAGTAACTTAGGGACAGGGCTTTTTCTATGGAGCTCTTAGGTCAGTAACAACTCCACTCGATAAATGATGCTTCCAGGAACTGCCAGTCAAGTCAAATAGACAACACGATCATTTATGTATACAATTCTATGTAATCTGCAGTTGGCAATGCTTTGAGAGTGGAACTTTTTGAGGAGCTCCAAACCCATTCTTTTTCATGCAAGTCTGCTGGTTTTCACAGCTACAGAGGTCTGCAGAGGTGCTGGTACGTATGGCTATTGTAC